TCCTGCTGAGTAAATTAGAGGCGATGACCCGCCCTTTAAAAGCATCAAAACAGTAGTGATGCACGTCCGTGGCATTGAAAACACGCGTGTCGTGTGGGTTGCTGTGATCCAGGGTGTTTGGGGAAGCGTTCTCATCGAGGTTCAACGAGTTAAAGCAGCGATGCTTCCCCGTCTGCCCGCTTTGGCCTCGCCCTTGCTGCTGGAGGGGGGTTTTTTTGACTCCAACTGGGGCAGGAAACTAAACTTGGTGCAAGCAGATCGCGACAGCCATCCTCCAGAAGCGACGGCCGTCGCTTCTGGAGGATGGCTGTCACGATCTGCTTGCAGCCCTGCTCTTCCACAGCCCGTGGTGTGCTGACCGGTTTACCCCACAGCGTACTGGTGGGCACATTTTCCATCCAAATCCTCAACGGGCGTTATCGGGGCGGGGTGGTTGGTTCGGATTAACGCGCTGCCGCCTTCCCTTCCTAGGTTGTGGCACACGGCCTGCGCCAGCGAGGAGGGAGAGGTGATCGTCTTCGGGGGCTGCGCCAACAACTTACTGGCTCATTCGAAAGCCGTGAGTTTAGTTTGAGCTTTCCCTTCCTGCGGGAGCCGGCGGGTGTTACCCCCCCCTCCAGCGAGCGTGAAGTGCTTGAGGACTGACAAAGGGGCATTAACAAGGCTCGAAGGGGAAATGTTTTTGCTGCTTTTCTCGAAAGGAGGTCATTATTTGTTATTTAAACAAACTATGACTTCGCTTTTCCATGTTTCACTTGGAGCCTGTTGTTACCTCCCAGCTACTTCTTCAGCTTTTCCCTCTGTTTCTCATGGGGGTGTTTTCAGGGAGCCCTTCCCACCGTAATTTCTCCAGGGCGAGGCCTAGGGAGAAGAGGCTGAACAGAGAGGGGGCTCTTGGGGCGTCCCAAGGTCTGTAAAAACAGGAGGGGGCTGGAAAGGGAGACTGGGAACAAGCACCTTCTGGTGCAGGAACCAGTGGGTCTCAGCTGGAACGGGCGAGCGGCGAACAAGAGCGGTGCAGCGGCTCGGTACGCACCGGCAGCTCGGCTCTGGTGGGTGACGGGGTCACGGGCGTTCAAGGGGCAGGCGTACCCCTGGAAAAAAATGAACCCAAAACCATGGGGCTGCTGTGACAACACAGTCCCCGTGTCCCGAGTCCCTCAGGGCAGCTCCCCGAGGAGCTGGAACCTCTGCCCGCGGGCGGTGGGTCCTGTTCTCCCACCCTGAGCCCAGGGTTGGAGCTGGGACGTGGGGCCCGCAGGCCCTCCCCCGGGCACGGGGGATGGAGCTTCCAGCCCTCCCAGCCCCGTCCCTTCCGTGTCAGCGACAGGAGACGCTGCGGGAGGGGGGAGAGCGCGGGAGCCCGGCCCCTCTGTGCGCCCCCTTCCCCTCCACCTCTTTGTATGAGGCAGCACCAGATCCGGGGTTTGGTTCTGCCGTAGTTCCCAGAGTGCCCATAACTTCCCCGAGTGCAGGATCTGGCGAGCCTTCTGCCTTCAGGGTGGCTGCTGCCTCTGGGATTTACGTGAAGTCCAGTCTCCTCCCCCACCCCTCAGCCTCTCCTCGCCCCCGGAGCTGCGCTTTGCCTTCCGTTCCAGGGTCCGTCTGCGTGAGCCTCGCCTCGTTTGGCTCCTGCTGTCATAACGTCACTCAAAACTGCTTCTTTCTCTCCCTCCCCACCCCCAGGCTCACAGTAACGAAATACTCGTGTTTTCTCTACAACCAAGATCTCTCGTAAGGTAAGAAAGACTCCAACCGTCACGTCTCCCTGCAAGACCAGTAGTGCAGGGTTACCACCCGATCCGTTTGTGGTCCTAAAACACTCGAAAACGTTTCTTCCTCTCAAGAATGCTGAAATGCAGCAGCCCCTTAGGAGAGGGCAGAGCAAGATGCCTCAGCTGGGCGCTGAGGACGAGAACAAGCCCTCGCTCCGTAGCTGGACGGCACGAGCTTACCTTGCCGCCCTTGCTCCCGCTAACCCCGGCCGTGTCTTCCCCTCTCCCCCAGGCTGTGCCTCGAAGCGGTCATCTGCTTTAAGGAGATGCTGGCCAGTTCCTGGAACTGCCTCCCCAAGCACTTGCTGCACAGCGTCAACCAGCGGTTCGGCAGCAACAACACCTCGGGCTCCTGAGCCCTCCGCCGCCGTCCCTGCCGGAGCTGTGCCTGGACGAGCGGGTCTGCCAAGATGTAACAATTCTACCGAGCGTGGCAAACACTCAACGTGTATAGGTTAAATATCTGTAGCGTCGTAGGTAGTTGCTGCTTGCCTTTCAGTTGCATGTGAATGGCCTAGAGAGAACCTATTTTTGTGTGAAGATGTTTGCAATAAATGTATTTAATGCCAGTGGAGACGTATCCCGTGCCTAAGCTAAAAGTAATTCTGGGTTTATCCACCTTGACGTACGCGTGAGGGGCAGCCCCAAGCGAGACGGTGGGGTGTGCACGTGTGGGGAGATAACCGGTGTGGAGTTCCTCGTCAAGGACCTGAGGACTTCAGTGCAAGAAATACCCCGGCACGCCCTGACTGTTGAAGAGGAGCGTTGCTTTAGTCTAGGCTGAAGATTCTAGGCTGCCGGGCGAGCAGTCCTGTTTTTAGTCTGCAGCGTTAGGAAACTGTCAGCTTAACGTTTGTTTTGTTTTTTTTTTTTTGCCACAAATGCTTAAAAGGTCAGAGAAACGGGATTTGGAAACTGTACGTTGTCCGAGTTGATAAACTGTCGTAAACCTTCAGATGTTAAAGCACCGCTACTCTCTGCTTGTTTGTAGTTTGGTTTTGTTGGAACTCTTTCTGTTGTGGAAAAAAAAATCAATTGTGAACCTTAGGAGGCAAATATTCTGCCCCGAGAAGTGTAACTGAAAGTGCTTGAGGCTGTTGGCGGCCGTGGCGGGGACCTGGGGAGCTCACCTACAGCCGGAAGGACTTCAGCGGGGTGGAGGTATGCTGGAGGGGGCTGCAGGCCAGTGCCTGCCTTCGCTGACACGGCTCCCTCTGGCAGCAGCCCCAGCAGGTGACGTGGGGGGACAACAGGCTGTACTGCTGTGGGGAAGGGAAGGGGGGGGAAATCGTGTTTAAGCTGTCCTCAAAAAAAAAAAAAAAAAAAAAATTAAAAACTTTGACTTCTAGAACAAAATAATTCCTGTATTGTAATTCCTGCGCTGGCGCGTGGGAGCTTGGGCTGGGGTGGTG